AGGAGGAGGAGGAGGAGGAATAGGTCACTGGCTCCATGGCCTGGTTTGCTTGGATGTGCAGGCATTTCCTTTCCACAAAGTAATGTCCTAAGAACAGTGCATCTAGAACAAGATTGCGTCACCATGTGCCATATCGCACTATGGCACAGTGAGCACCTTCTCCGATGATCTCCTAGGATCCTGAGGTCAAGGGACCCCAGAGCTTACTATTAGATAGGAAGGTTGGCACTGAGAATTTGACCCTGTCACAGTCTTTCTGTATATATTGTAGCCGAGGACACACAGTGTGACCTTGTGTAGGCGAAAGCACAGAATACTTGGGGTCATAACCTGACTTGAAAATCAGACCATTTTTCTCCTCTGCTGTGTGACCTTAGACAACTCATTTAACTTCTCTGAGTTTCAATTTCCTATTCTGAAAGGCCGCAGTATTGCTGCTCTGCAGGACGCTACGTGGATAGCACCCCCTGGAGTGCTACTCCACGGGTGCAAGGCAGGGTGTGAGCGCTGGGATGAAAACAAAACTTGCTTTACCTAATTTTGGAAATCCAACGAAACCATGCACAGAAAATCACTTTGTGAGAAATAAGCAGCACAAGAATGCCTGCTGCTGTTGCTGTTCTTTGGAGGATAAGAATGGATGAAACACAGACATGTATATTCCTGTGTAACTTGGATGAGTTCTGAGGGTTTTGTGGTCACTTTGGGACATCACTTTAGTCAGAAGGGGTGCAGCAGAAGAGATGCATGCTTAGAGCCTCAGCTATAACAATAACCATCTTCACAGCTACCTACCACTACATATAAGTACTTTCCACTCTTGCCTTTGGTCATCATAGCAATTTTTTAAACTGGTATGATCATCCTAATTTTACATCATCATCATCACATCCCATATTCATCTAGCACTTTCAGCATTTCTCATGCTGTTTTTCACTTAGTTCAATTTTAGAGCTAGAAGACACTTTCAGAAACATCCATTGATATCCCCTATTTAATAGGCAGGAACTTTATGGTTCTGAGAAATTACAAGGCCTGTTCAAGTTTACCCAAGTGTTTAATGATAGAAGCAGGGTTGTAAGTACACTGACTAACTATCAGTTTAATACTTTTCTCACTAAACCCGTGTCTGGTGTGTTTTCCAGTTTAGTAAACCTACTTAGTGCTTTCTTTTGGCCCAAGAGTCCAATGGCAAAGCATCCTTCGCCCAAGGGGACTGCCAGGCTGCCTTCCCTCAGCCTCCTCTCTCCATGGGGCTCAATGTTATCTCCTGAATAAAAGTAAAGGTAAGGAATAGAGGAGTCAGACTTCCAGTCAAGATGGCGAAGTGGGTAAAAGCTGTGTTTACCTCCTCCCATGGACACATACAAATTGCAACTAAATTGTAGAAAAACCATCATTCAGAATAACCTAACAACTACCCAAAGAGAAGTTGCATAACTAAAGACACAAAGAAGCGACACCAAGACAGGGGGATTTGTGAAACATGTTGGTCCCCCACCCACGGTGTGGTGATTAAGAATTGGGAGGGATATCTTGGCTACACAGGTCCCCTCCTAAGGAGTGAGGGCTCCCAGCCCCACACTTGGCTCCCAAGCCCAAGACTCCAGTGCTGGGAAGAAGAGTCTCCTTAACATCTAGAATTATCAGCAGGGATTACATCAGCAGAGGGCTGCTGGAGACCTAGGAGCTCTCTTAAAGGACCCCTTCCTCTCACTCACAAACTCACTCACTCTAGGCTCCAGCCAGGGGCATCAGCCTGAAAAGTGCCAGTAACATACAGGGAGGGATTAAATTGACTAGCTCCAAGGCTAGGACAGGAGGGCAGGGCAGCTCTTGTTTTTCTGGATTGTTACTCTGCTTTCTCACTTGGGACATGTTTGGCTGGCAGGTGCAATTGTTCCTTTGTTGAGCCCTTCTCCAACTCAGCTGGCACAGTGCAGGCAGGCACCAAATCTGTGCTGTCCATTAACCTGGCTAACACCCTTTACTTTGCCTGGTGATTCCCTGAGACCCTACCACAGCCAATTAATATGCCCAGCCCAAACCTCTTCTGGTGGCTTTTCTACATAAGAAACCTGCCTAGATTCATGTTGTGCACTTTCCTAAAATTTCTCAACAGTCCACAAACCTTGAACAAGCAGCCGCTGGCCTTGGCATTCTCTGTACTCCTTGCTAGTGGCTCTAAACCCAGCAGAAGAAGTAACCAGTCTCAACTTGCATTGTAACACCCATCAGGTGGCCCTACACCTGGCATAAGTGGTTGCCAGTCTTGGCTTGGAATGTTTCTTCAAGTAAGCAGCAATAAGCCTGAAACAGTGGCAGCTCCTCTCAGCTCATGTGGTGGTGCCCACCAAAGGGTCCCAAGCTTGGCACAGTGGCAGCTAGCCTCAATTCAAATCACGGCCTCTCTCAAATGCCTCTAAGCCCAGCCCAGTAGCTACCAACAGTAGATCACTTAGTAGTTCCTACCAGTTGGCACTGGGCTGAACACAAGTGGCAACTGATCTTAATCTGCACCAGAGCATCACCCAAACAGCTTCACAAATGATACCCCCGGAAAGTGAACCCAGCTAAAGTGACTCCTGCAATGTGGGGTCATTCCCATTCCCTGCACAACACACCTCTGCTGTAGTCAGGTCTCACAGCCAGTCAGCCTGAAGATCAATCCCACATACTGAGATGCCAAAAATAATCAAGTATAGATTATAACAGGAGGGCACACACAACCCACATATGTGACACCTCTGGAATACCCAGCTCAGGCAAACAGGGAGACTATGTAACCAGGTCCCACAGGACATCTCCACATAGGGCCACTCTACCAAAATTGAGAGGCATAGCAGAGATCCTAA